GATATAATAATAGAATAAAAATTTTGGACCCTGCCGAGGAAAAATGAGAAAATACTGGCGATTTGTCACTAGTAAGTAGGTTATGGTTGGGGAAATTGACAATCGAATACTGGAATAACAAAAAGGACTAACTAAACTATAGGCGTGTGACAATGTAACACAACAAGGGATATTTTTTGAGTAACCGTTATTGACTCTTTGATATTTTAGTTAACTTTATGATAAATTCTCCGGTGTAATTATGCAGAGTCACATTGGTCTATGCATAAGTTTAAATTCATAAAAAGGGAATGATATGTTATCCTTATTGCAATTCGAACAATATAAAAATATTTATAAAGTTAGGAAACAAATTAGTCGACTCCTAATCCACAGAAATAAAATGTAAATTTATTAGTCTTCAAAGTTCTGCGTTCCTGATAATGGGTCTGTCACGTGAATCGAGTGTAACACAGCCACAAATATGTTCCTATTTTTTCCTTTCTTGGTCTTTTACACATGCAAAGCTGTGATTACTTAGATCATTGTTATACCAGTATACATAGTATATACAATAGTATATACGTACTATTTTATATTTTCTGTTCCTCAGCACCAAAAGTCAAAATCAAAGCCATTTATACGATTTATACGTCATCGACGTCATGTACTGTAATATCAGATAAACAAATTTATCTCATTTTAATGTGTATATCAGAAATATATAGCATATATAATTATCACTATATCATCACTGTATCATCACTATATCATCACTATATCATCACTATATCTAGTCTTTATCACATATTGTCTCGTCTGAACCTTTTTCGTTCGCTTGTTCACCTTTACAAAATAATTTTAGTCGAAACGCGTCCACACCGTTAAGATAATATCTGTAAAGACGTTTATCCCTTATGAATCCCAAATTATGATACAACGAAAGTGCGCCGATGTTTGTATATTCTGTTTCAAGGACAATCTTAAATGAAGTGTAAATTTGATTTCAGATTGCTTAACCCAAT